ATTCAATTTATGCAAATAAGAAGAGGGTATTTCCACCAAGCCACCCTGCCACTGCTGGTTTATCACCGCTTTCAATAGTCAACCATAATTGCTTCCTGGGTTTCTCCCAAGTCACAACTCAACCAAAGAAACATACGATACGGGGTAAACCCTCCACAAAAAAAATAAAATTTTAATTTTTGAGGGTTAAAATGCCTAAAAGCTCTTGGTTTTGATGCTCCATCACATTCAAGTATAGAGATCACGATAATTAATGAGCTGTCCAGAAAAATGGTTGGAGGGAAAAAAAATTTAAAAGAAAAAAAAACGTTAAGGAAAGAACCGAGGAAGGAATGAAATTAAAGAGGAAGGGGACCGATGACGTGCAACGATGTTAAGACAAAGCCCGCTTGAACAGAGAGCTTGAGGCAGTGATTTTTTAGTTCGTTGAATCGAATGTTTCCTATGAAGTCATAAATTAAAACATTCATCATTAGCCCTGAATTAATGTTATTTCCTTCTACCTAATTAATCGTACTTACCCTACGCACTATGCATGTTTCAACTTATTCAAAAAAAAAAAAAATCCAAGACCTCGACTTTGGACATTAAACATATGTTCCATTATCAACGCCCCCCCCCCCCACGGCCCAAATTTCATTCCTTTCAAAAGTATAACACTGAGCTGTGTGTCCCGAGAAATAAATAAGTCGTTAAAATAGCCCAAGTGAAGTGCATTCTCCTTTTTTTTGTTTTTTGGGACAACGAAACTGAGGAGATTTTGGTGGAAAAGAAAAAAGAGAAACTGAGCACAGAGGGCATTAGGTTGGGTGCGCAGGCCGAGGGTGAATGGAAAACATTAATTAAGCGATTAACAGTATAGATACAAGGAAACTAAAAGGCATATGGAGAGATTGATTAGGAACTTGTTGAGAGTGACGGGGAACATGTGGAGAGCGGAGGGAGTTGAAGGGAACGTACATAGGTATAAATAATTGGGAAGATGGCAGAGGCAACAAGAAGGCACGTTGGTCGCAGTGCTGTCCATATACACATTCATTATCAATCTCTCTAGGGGTTAGCAAAACTAAATTCAACCGAATCAAATTAAATTTTATTTACTTGATTTATTTTATTTTATTTTTTAGTTTGATTTGATTTTTTTATAAAAAAATTTTGATTGATCAATTTGATTTAATCTAAAATTTTTTAAATTAAATAAATTAAACTGACCAAATTATATCTATTTTTTTATATTTTTAATAATGTGAATAAATTCTCATCTAGGTAATTAAGAAATATTTTTCTACCATTTACAGTAATAATATTTTTTTGTTTAATGTAATGCTCTAATTTTTTATTTCTATAATTTAATTTTTAATGCAATAGTACTAAGTTTTGTTAATTTTTTCATGAATTATGATTTACAATTGCCATTTTTTTATTGGGCTTTCAACATCAAAAAAAAATTGGATAAAAGAATGTATGAATAATTAGAGTTCACAAACCAAAATCAAAGTCTATATCAAATCGAACCATTATAATTTGATTTGGTTTTAATTTGATTTAATCCAAAATTTTTATGTAATTTAATCGATTCATTTTAGAGAAATTAAAACTAAATTGACTGAATGTTCACCTCTTATCTCTCTCTATTATTAAGAGAAAGAGAATGCCGGGAAGGGAAGGAAGTGTGTGTGTGTGTGAGAAAGTGGAAAAGGAAGGCCTGGGTTGAAATGTTTGCAGGAGATAGGGAGGGACGATTCATGACTGTCAGGGATGGGAAGCATGATGATCTCAGATGGGAACTGATCTTCATTAAGCATGAGCACAGTGTCACGGGCTGAGAGTCTGGCGCAGCACACGGCGCCCGTGCGGCGTCCTGGAGGACCCCATAATCCTCAGGACAAGCCTTACCACGTACGGATCACACTGGTTTCGCCCTGCCATGGGCTCATCAGGGAGGCGGCACTAGCCCCCGACCAGTTGTGCACACAGTCCGAAGACTGAGGCAGAACACCCCCAATGCTAATGTCGCCCCCTTTACCCATATTGTGCGAGGCTAACCAGCGGACCGTTCATTATCTTGGTCTTTACACGGTCACGGAAATATCATCCGTGACATTCTCCCACACCCAATCTAGCACGCCCTCGTGCTAGGGGAGAACGACTCCGCCCAAGGATCGTACATACAGTACTGCCACAAACACATCAGCTTACTTGCTGAGTGGCCACCCGAGTCCTGCACTCTTCGGACCCACTCGCACCCGCGAGCCAACAGGAGTGGAGTCGACAACGGCCAACCTTCCCGCCCGAGTCCCCACTTTTGGACCCACCTGCTCGGAGGCCTTTCTGGAGCGGTGCCGAGGCCGACCAGTCCCAACGTGGGACCCCACGCGCACACGACAGTAAAGTACGTCCTGCTCTGATACCACTCTGTCACGGGCTGAGAGTCTGGCGCAGCACACGGCGCCCGTGCGGCGTCCTGGAGGACCCCATAATCCTCAGGACAAGCCTTACCACGTACGGATCACACTGGTTTCGCCCTGCCATGGGCTCATCAGGGAGGCGGCACTAGCCCCCGACCAGTTGTGCACACAGTCCGAAGACTGAGGCAGAACACCCCCAATGCTAATGTCGCCCCCTTTACCCATATTGTGCGAGGCTAACCAGCGGACCGTTCATTATCTTGGTCTTTACACGGTCACGGAAATATCATCCGTGACAACAGGATGCAATTATGTCCCATGAGAGAGTGCGTGTTAGTCTCCCCTCTTGACCTTTATTTTTTTAAAAAAAAAAAATTATTTTAACTTTTAAAGCTTGGCCCTCTATCCCGTACATGCCCCACATCATCATGTCATCTCTGCAGCATACATACGGCTTAAAAGTTAGATCACAGCATCACACTGTACAGTTAAAATATGCACTTAATTAGGCTGAGATGTAAATGAGAATATTTACGGCCGCGTGATCTCAAACGTTATCACATCTCAACTATACAGGGGCCAAAACAGCATGTTTTGGTCTCGGCTTTGCTGTCCATGCCATATATATAGATAATAGACTCGCTGTTGTTGGTTAATTAAACACACAGAAATAGCTCGGTAGCAAGGTGGAGGGAGTGGCAAACGTTAAGGTGAAGAGAGAAGGAAGAGAACAAAGTACTGATGAAAGGGTGAAATTATTGCATGTTGGGGGGTCGCAGAGAAGAAAAAGAAAGGTGCACGGGTAGGCTGTGGATGTGGTCCTGACTCCTGAAAATATATCAGTCATCATGTGGTGAAATCCAAGCAATCCGGCTGGGTCCTCCACTTTCTGCACATTCACTTTGTCATTTTCATCTCCGCACTCTCACATATTTACTGTCAATAGCGGAATCCACACCGCATGCTAAAACCATTTTAGCGACATTTATTTTTACAATCTGAGAAGGTCAGATCATCGGACTTTTAGCCATGCTGCTTGCAATAAGCTTCATACCCCGCCCCTCCCCCCCCCCCCCCCCACAGAAAACCGGGTAAAATAATAAACTCTAATTGCTTTTGCATGCTTGCATCCCCCAAAATAGGAAAATCACCCGAGGATGGTGGATACTGCGAAATCTTGGGATCCCAAGTCCAGACCAATATCTGGGGCGCTTATCCCAGACTTCACAAATGGCCGGCATTGGGACCCTTTTCTGAAACCCCACCTCTCTCCCATTTCCCGTTCCAATCTCTCATTATATCCCACTCTACTGCTCATGTTTCATCGTGCTCGAGCATATAATTACTTTCTCTCTTCAAAACAGATAACTCATGCCATTCCTTTTTTTTTTTTTTTTTGGGTCCAGTACACCGTCAATTTGCCAATGATACTTTAATTTCCATAAAATATCCCCACTAATTTCTTTATAATCTCAAGGTTTAACGAGTATATTTCATCCTGCATATATGGATATCCGATCTTTTTTTTCTTTTTCCAGTTTGACGATAGAAATATTATCTCCAAATCAGGTCCGGTTGTCTCTATAACGAAGTATATATAATTGGGTTTGGCAATTTTGACCGAATGCAAATTTTCAACGATTAGACCCTCAAGCTTTCCCTGCCTTGAGAAGTAATCGACAATGAAAATTTGAATAGAGCTTTATCTATTAGCCAATATATGACTGTCATTTGATTTATGGAAAACATTAGTTTCAAGATGTATAGGGAAATATATGATGTATAAATCCATGAGCAATTTACATTTGAACTGCGGCCAAAAGGGTTTTCCCTATGGTGAGCGTTAAACCAAGCCGTGCATATATAGAAAAACAAAATAGAGAGAAATGTTTGGATCTTGAAGTCGAGGGTCCTGCTAATGTCCTTTTCACGCCAATTCACGAAAGAAATTAAAAATGCGCGACGGGTAAAAGTGATCTATAAAGTCTCACGCCGGCAATAAAGTAGTAAGCAGACATGTTAAAATCTTATAATATGGAACAAAATGGTGAGGAATAAGAAATTAATTGCGCACACAAAAGAATTTAGTACTTAGTGGCCGTAATGACAAAAACGTTAATACAAACTCCGAAATGCTATATATATATATATATATATGTATATACAGTGTGCGTATGTGCATACATGAGTAACAAAATGATGGCAGATGGTAATCACATTTGAGATGGCGAGTGGGGATGGAAAGTTACGTCATAGTACTGATGGCATGCATAATTGCATGAGGAGTATATTTAATGGGGTAAATCTGGGAGTGGGGGATGCCATCAAAATTCCCATTGCTTCGTCCCCGTTTTATTGTTACTTAAACGCATCGGATCCTTCGCCCAGACCGACTTTCGTTCCCTCTCTCTCGCAGTAACTAACTCGTAGTCATAAGCACGCCCATTCGAGATTGTCGTCCCCTAAAAACAAGGTTGACAAATTCCCTCTCATGTTTCATTTCCATCCTCTTCCTCTTTCTGCCTCTCTAATTAATTTCTCCGAGCTATCCAAATTCTAGTCTCGTTGGACCTGATGCTTTTTCTTGATGAAATGGAGTTCAATTTGTTGGTAAGGCCCACCGTGGACTTCCTCGATCAAATGGAGCAGCAGAGTGCTTCGACCAGAGAGGATGGCGAGCTTTGTCTCGACCATCCAGTGCAAGGAACTCACCGGGAAGGCGACAATGATCGAGACCGGCCCCTCAATATTGTTTCCGCAGCTAACTTGAATCTCAACATTCGATCCTACAATTCCGAGGCCCAGAGAGACCTCGATGAATCAAGCCGCGGGTGCAAGACTCCAACATCTTCAGATCACAAAATCCCGTCGAGCCTGCGATGCCCGCCTGCTCCAAAGAAGCCCAGATCAATTCCGTCCGGGAAGAGAAAATCAAGCGGCGCAGGAAATTTTCTCGATCTGTCCAGAGAGATTGAATCTTTGTTTCCGGCGCCATTGCTGCTGGATCTTTACGGTAAGATTAAGAAAGTCAGACGAGGGAATGGCACCCAATGAGGCGCGAGTAATGTGGTTGATCTTTATTTATCATTTTTAATATCATTATTATTACTGACCTCGACGGATTGTAGAATCTTGCTCTTGAAATGGCTTTCCCAAAAATTATAGACGCGGTTCTCTTTTCTCTAATACGCTGCTGGTCTCTTCCTTCGATATGTTCAAGTTCTTTGGGCATGCATATTTATTTGAGAGCAAGTATTTAAGTTCATTGGCACGGGAATGATAGAGATGTGGTGAGTTAGGGAATTAACTTCCCCACTCATCCCAAGGATGTAATCGTCCTTGAAATGAGATTTAAATTATTTAAATTTTTAATTTAAATGATTCACATTTAAAGTATTATTATATTATTATATGCTATATTTATTAAAATAAAAATTTATAAAAATTATAAAATAATTTTAATAAATTTTTATTTTTAATCTACTTTAAATTTAATTTAAAGAGTTTAATTTAATATTAAAATTTTTATAATTAATATATATTATTTATTCAAATTTTTTCTATACAGTTTAAGACTGTGCAAGGTACATTTGAATAATTAATATATATTAATTATAAAAATTTAAATATTAAAATGAACCCACTAAATTAAATCTAGATCAAATTAAAAATAAAAAATTTATTAAAATTATTTTATAATTTTTTAAAATTTTTATTTTAATAAATATAATATATAACAATATATTAAATCTGAATCATCTAAATTAAAAATTGAATGGCTCAGATTTTATTATAAGAATGAGCTCATGGTGCTCATCTTTGAAATGAACATAAAAACTGAACCCGGTGAGTTAGATATGGGTGTGTATGCAGAGAGAGAGTTGGATCTAAATGAAAGCAAGTACGTCGCGATGTCTGATATATATATATATATATATATTTTGTGTGTGGGGAGGGGGGCATAAGGTGTTTTCAATTCCCCTCCCTCCATTTCCCTTCATTTTTCAAAAAACGATATAAAAATATAGAAAATAATAAAAGGCAACTAAAAAGAAAGCATAAAATTTCCCTCCATTCGGATTGTGAAGAAATGCTTAAAAAGATAACATCAAAACTCTAAGACAACCTCTGTTTTGGCATGCGAGGAGAGAGTTTCTTAGAGAAGAAGGCTGTTGGATGCCTATCTTGACTGAGAATAGCACTAATACCAACCTCGAATGCATCGGTTTCAAGGACAAAAGGTTTGATGAAATTTGGTAGAGTAAGTACAGGAGCTCAACTTAGAGCATCTTTCAAAGATCCAAACGCTTCTTAGGCCGAAGCGATCCATTTAAAGGCATCTTTATCTAACAACTTGGTTAATGGACCAGCCAATTAGGCATAACTCTTAACAAATTGCTTGTAATATTCAGTAAGTCCTAAAAAGTCCTACAGCTGTGTAACATTTGTAGGAGTGGGCTAATTTTGAATGGCGACTACCTTAGCCTGATCCATCTCGATTCCATAAGCTGAAATTGTGTGGCCCAAATAGTCTATCATCCTTTGACCAAAAACACATTTGGCCCCTTTTGCAAACAGTTGGTGTTTTTCTAATAACATCAAACCATATCGAGATGTTGTAAGTGCAAATCCCATATGATGCTATAAATGAGTATATCATCAAAAATATTAGAACAAAACATCTGAGATATAGTCAAAAATTAGTGTTCATGAGAGTTTGAAATGTTGCTGGGGCATTTGCGAGCCCGAGGGGCATTACTAGCCATTCATATAGACCTTGGTGAGTCCTAAAAGCAGTCTTTTCTCTGACAGCCTCCCTCGCTAGAATCTGGTGGTAGCCTAATCTGAGATCTAACTTAGAATAAAATATAGAGCCATAAAGCTCATCAATTAACTCGTCTACTATCAGCATAGGAAACACATCTTTTGCGGTCAGTGCGTTTAGTCCTCAACAGTCAACATAAAAGCACCAAGTCCCGTCTTTCTTCTTTACCAAGATGACTAGAGCTAAGAACAGATTGGAGCTCAGTTGAATCAATCCATCACTAAGTAATTCCATCACCATCTTTTTAATTTTAATTTTTTTGACTAAGCTTTGGGGTACCTAAAAAACAATTTTGTGTTTCCTTAAAATGGATGCGAGTTTCATATCTTTGACTTCCATTCCGTTTATGGAGTGACTCTCTTTTGTTATTTTTACTATGAATAAGTCTGCAATGGAATCTACTTGATTGAGTTGTACTAAATGATGGAATTGGGCTTATGCTAGGGGTGGTCCTCAAAATCCTTTTAATGTAATAAATCATCCATCTTCCACAAAGTTTATCGTGGAAGTGCTATAATCGGCCACATGGGGCCCTAACATCTCTAACTAATCAGCGCTTATGACCCCTTGCTACAGGTAGTACAGATAGAGTTAATGGTAAAGAATAATCATAGATTTTTACTAGAAGATCCCTAACCATACATGTATTTGTCATCACTTGTTTGGTGCCCCCAACACATGAATATCCGATGTGTTTTCAATTGGAATTCCTAAATGCTACACAATCTTGGGATGTATTAAATCGTCCAAACTATTGCTATCTAGAAGAATTTGCATCTCAGTCCTATAAATTGTGCCTGAGAACCTTATAGTAGCTGCCCCTTGTGTCCCTTGTAATGCATGTAAGGACAGATAATGAATAGTAGCCTCAGGCATAGGAACCTCTTCCACTATGTTTCCTATTGTTTCAGTGATGCTATTTTGCTCCTCATCTTCTTCACCTATCAATATTACCATTTGTTTGTCTAGGCATTTATAGGTAGGTGAAAACTTATTGTCACAGGTAAAGCACAAGCTGTTCTCTTTCCTTATTTGCTTCTCAGTTGGCGTTATTCTCTTGATAGGAGGAGTTTTTGGAGTGGGTAATAATGGAGGCAAGTTAGTCTTACCCCCTCTACTTTGATTAAACGAAGTCACTCTACTATTAAATGGAACGATGGCTTTTTCAGCATTATATATACCTCTACTTCTTGTTGTTGTTCGGCCTTTTGGCATCGAAACTCCGTACACTATAATCTCTAAAAATAATTGGGCTAATGTCATCACCTTCAAGACTATGGTCATTGAACTAGAATGTCATGATGGAGCTCGGGCTTAAGTCCCCTAATGTAATAGTCTAGCAGTACTTACTCATTCACATCTTTTGTTCTGTTTGCTAATGTCGTGAGCTTGGCATTATAATCCTCTAACGACCCTTGTTGGGTCAGTTTAAATAGCTAGACTCTCGCGCAATCGAACTTGTAAGGGCCATATTGATCTTTAATGGCATTCGCTAAGGATGCCCAAGTCGAAACACATTTAGCCTTTTCTAACATCTAGTACCATAGTAGAACATTGCAATCCAAATGCATTGAAGCTATGACAAGCTTTTGTTAGTTTGTCATTTCATAGTATTTAAAAAATTGCTTGACCTTGAATAAGCACTTCCTCTAAAGCACGGACAACGTGTTGGATATGCATCTAACAAGGATACACATTTAGGATGTGGATGCGGCGTGTCCACTTTTTCATCTTTTATTGGACACAGGTTGAAACGGGAAGGTTTGGGTAGACACGAGTTGGACATGAAATTTTGCATTTTGGTCTTTTTTTTAATTTTTTCTCAAAATCAAAAGCCCTATATGCTTCGTTCAGTCCCATCCTTTCCCTTTCATCTGTAAAAATATATTGCATGTGGGCATTGCTCTTCTTTTGACTCGCAATTGTCATTGCAT